CTCTTTTCGCCCGGTGCTGACTGGTCCTGACCTGGCCTTCAGTGGCCCGAGGGTGGTTTTCCGTTGTGTTGCATCTAACGTCTCCCCACCAGTCATCTATGAGCTGATAAAGGATGGACGTGTGCGAATTGGCCGCAATAGAGATTTTCAAGGTGGCCAAGTTGCATCATTCCCTATCAGAGTAACTGCAGCGTCAGAAGGGTCATACCACTGCAGGGCCACAGCTGGAGGAACCAGAGAAATCAGCAACAGCATTAAGCTGAGAGTAGTCAGTGAGTATCGGATGCTGGGTAGTTCATTAAAGCTTAGTCAACTGACTTTCCCCTTTTCTTCACCAACTGTCTTTTATTCCCTGATTTCCAGCTCCACCATCATATACCAGAGTGACCTCTGAACCCTTCCCCCCAGTTGCATACGAGGGGTCACGCATGGCCCTGAGTTGTGACGCTGAAATGGGGTCCAACCTTTCCTACAGCTGGTTTTTTAACAGGAAGGAAATAACATCTTCGACTTCTCTCCCCTTCCACTTTGTGGAAAACAAGCTGCTGGTGGAGAGGGTAACTCCTGAGTATGCTGGAAATTTTTCTTGCAGTGCTTGGTCCAGCGTGAATGAGATCAAAAGGATTTCCAGCAGCACAGAGGTCCAGGTGACAATCAAAGGTACATATTAACAGAATTTACAAAGTTTATAAATACTACGTTTGCTACTTGGCACTATCAGCCAGTTTAGTTCAGAAATATCTCATGAACTACTGAATAGATTTGCATGCAATTAGGTCCATTGTAATGTTCCCAGAGGGCAATTTTAATGAGTTTTCATTAGCACTGAGGGATTGATATGTATTCCATTTCAGTGAAGTTAAAAAAAACTCTTCCTCCTTCCTCCTGCACCAGTCTATGTTTCAAAGCCAGAGATCTCCTTCTCCGTTCATAAAGAGGGAACCAGTTACCATGGCAATGTGACGTGCTGGTCAACAAGAGGGAGCCCTCCGGTGAACTTGTATCTTTTACTAGACGGTAAAGAAGTGGACTCCGTCACAGCAGCTCAGACCCTGGCTGCCTGGTTCCTTGTAGTTGTAGTCCCTGAGCTGGACATGGGAGAGGCACGATGCCGGGTGAAAACCGAGAATCAGGACCTCACAAGTGAGCCTGTGAACCTGGAAGTAGGTATGAAGATGTGTGAATGATCTCGGTCTTTACCATAGACTGTAGATGGATGCAACCAATGCAAAAGTGACTTAAAGGTGCATTCTTTCTCCTGTTGCCCATTAGAGATGCTTACATTACAATACAATATGAAGTTCAATGTGTAAACGATTCAGATCGGGGGATTATCTAGGATTTCCATCGTGATTTGTCACTATTTAAATAAAACTGAACTGAATTGAAGTTGCGTTCAGTAAGTGTTGATGCAGAAAAGGATCCAAAACAAAAGACTGACCGTTATTTAGTTGAGGTTTATGAAAATCCACAACAGAGAATCAACTAATGAATCCAAATGTCTGAAAAAGTCATAAAGCATAATCAGCAGGGAGAACTGAACTGAACAGGCCGACAAAGGGAGGCAGCGACTACATCCACAAAGAGGTGAGAGACACCTGGAAGAGACAGAGAAGTAAAACTAAATACTAAACACACAGACGCTGCCAAAATAAAACAGGAAGTAACTAAAACATAAACACGGCTCCCACAGACCAAGAATTAACAACAAGACATGGGAACAAACTGAAAACTCAACCTATGAAAAAATTAAAAAGCTCAAACACATAATAAAAAAAACGAAACTAGAATTACAAGAATAGAGA